CTTGCAGGTGTCATTGACTGTTTCGATTGAATTGTAAGGATCACTTTTGGTCGCACCTCCTTCCAGCGCTGCCTAGCCTAGAGAAGCATCCAGTGCAGCCCTCAAAATCGAGTTCAGTCCTTTCCGTACATTAAATAATACGAAGTCAGGTCCACTAAATTTAGCCGATTTTGTGAATTGATGGTGATGTAATAAATCAGGTTTTTTGTTACCTATATAAATACTACGGAAAATTCTCTATCATCTTCTAGCTTATTGAGATAGCGCTTAGGTCTTTCTAGCCTATTAGTCAACACCAAAATGGTTGCGTAATTCAGGAGTGAAATTAACAATGCATTTCGTGTAATGGTGCAAAGGGCTTCTTCTACTTCGCAAGCATGCTGCTTTATAAGCAAGATCAATTGTTTCATCTAACTCTCAGAAGCCGCCAAGTAGGCCTTATTGCGTCACAATTAGACCATCAACAGACCTGGCGTGGCACGTCGGTAGAGCATTAGGCGATACCACATTTTGTGGTTCTTTAAAGCATTTTATTGCATATATTTGAAAATTCTAGTCAAGCATACCTGTTTTGCAACCATGTTGGCGTAAATTCCACCCCTGGCAAGCAGTTCACCGTGAGTGCCCATTTCCTGTACCACTCCTCGATCCACCACAACAATGCGATCAGCATTGCGAACGGTACTGAGACGATGAGCGATCATGATGACGGTGCGGCCCTGACAGGCTTTATCAAAGGCTGCTTGTACAATTTTTTCCGACTTGTTGTCCAGTGCCGAGGTAGCCTCATCTAGCAGGAGGACCGCAGGCTTGCGAATCAGAGCTCGAGCGATAGCCAGACGTTGCTTCTGACCGCCAGATAGCTTGCCTCCGCCTTCCGTTAGAAATGTATCGTATGCCTTAGCAGGAAATCAAATAAAGCCAGACTCATTTATGCGGTGAGTGAAGGCTTTGCGTTCAAGCACTTTAAGTCGGAATCGATGCATTGCGGTCATTCCCCCTCATTCAATTGCAATACGTTGGTTGCTTTGAAATTAGTGCAATTTTAATAAAAGGTGACGTCCCAGACACTGCGATTGCTAAGACGAATCAGTGACATTGGAGTGGTTTCGCGCATAAATATGATGGCCTTCACGAATGCCCCGTCGGTATTTCCTTTACAGCACTCAGAGCATTACAAAGGAAAATACGGGAGGATGCCAAAACGGAGGGTCAGAGACGAGGCTCAAAAGAGGAAAGGATGTTGGTTAGTTAATATTTTAACTCTAAATTTTGTTAAAGGACTACTTGGGTGTTCTGCTATGGCAGTCTAGTCAGATGCACTAACATTTGGGCTATTTTCTTTCGTCATAAGGAAAATCTTTGAGCCTCACAGCAGTGCCAAAGCTGCTTTCTTGAGAGCGATGAGAGAGAATGAGGCATTTCAGTTGACATGAAACACAGTTTAGACCAACATCAAATCATAATGAGCTAACTATCACCTAAATGAGAAGAAGTTTAAAATCCGGAGCGAATTAATATTGCTCATGTGATGTTAAGAATGGCTATATAGCCATATATAGCTATATATAGGGTGGAGGCTGGATACATGTATTCCGAAGAGAACAGAGCAAACGGGTCTGAGCATGGCCCGAAGGCCAGCCCACGAAAACAAGGACCAGACAAATCCTAAATGTGCCTGCCAAACGTCAGATAGTCGCAGAAACAAAGCATTACAGGTTACATTTATAAAACTATTAGCAACAAACAAGCCAAATTGATTTCATTTACGTTTGAATGCCTTTCTTTAACCAGGTAAAATGAAAGTGGCTGGCACCGGCATGACCGCTTGTACTTGAGGACTTCGCACCATTTGAAGGCTGTATGTGCAGTTGTCCATTAAGCTATTTAAATGCATTTTGAGTCAATGTAAAAATGACGGACGATTAATAAACAATGGCAGAAGTGCACAGAAAAGCATTCTCATTCTGCGGTTTGAGTATGGAATGTAATTCTAGGCATAACGGGAGTGAAGCAATGGAAACTTTTGACAAATGAAAGCGGCAGTGACAGTGTGCGCACATCAGCCCCTTTGAAGCACTTATGCCTGCTGCAATGGAAGAGACCAAGTGATGAAGGCGGTGTGAGGTATTTAGCTGCCAGTTCCATTTATTATAAGTGGTGAATTGTAGGGAATCAAATTTCAATTTGGTACAAAACAGAGTTAATGACTGGGCTGCAGACTTTAGTGTTCCACTCATGAATGACTTGAATAACCCGCAGTGCTTATTACTCTTGAACTGGAAATCTTTTTGACTAAAAGAAATTTGCATGCATTATAACCAATTAAAGATTTCGTGGTAGCAAAACTCTCTGTGTCAACTCGAATTTTAAGACCAGTGACTGTTGTGCTGAGCGTGAAGAGCAGATGACTCCTTAATTTGTGCGAAAAATAAAAAAAAACACATATATTTGGTTTTGGTAGAGACTAGTGCATAGAGAAATGAAGGGCTCATTGCGTTAAACCTAGGAGAGCCTTGATGAAAAACGTGATAACGATAAGCATTTGCAGCATTTCCTTTGATGCAGAGGCGTAAATTTCGATTTTTGCGAGCAATCGCATGCACCGATCAGTGAAGCACTTTCACATGTGCCATCATTCATCAATTGCGCAAACGATGAAACGGTTGTGATTATGACTACCACATAGGCGTATCAAATTATTTTCCAAATGCATCCCCCCAAGTTCACTCAGCCGCACTCCAATGACTTCAAAAGTAAAATTTGATTTGTGCCTAGGGAGAGTAAGGGCAAACAAAGCTGACACAAGGTGTATGTAATACGATAATTTGGGATTACCTCTGGCAGGGTGACGATAAAATTGTGTGCGTCTGCTTCCCTGGCTGACTGTTCAACCTCCGCGAATTCCGCCTCCGGCTTTCCCATTAGAATATTTTCGGTGACGGTGCCAGCGAATAGGTTTGGCTCTTGCGACACAACCCCAAGTTGACGACGCAACCATGCAACATTGAGATCGCGTATGTCAACTCCATCTAACAGAATCTGCAGCGTTTATAAAGTGAAAACACGGAATCGGTGAGTACTCAACTTCATTCAATGCGGTGAAGTTATATGAGATCTAATGAACCTCCGAGAAATGATACTTTCCTATCACAATGCAAAAGTGTTTGAAGGAAGAAAGTTTTCAATTGATCTCGAGACTCACACTTCCATCATCAGCATCGTAGAAGCGCTGAAGTAGCTGAACTGTTGTGCTTTTCCCCGAACCACTAGGACCAACAATCGCCACCGTCTCACCCGGATTCACTGTCAACGAAAAGTTCTTCAAAACCTAAAATTAAAGCTGTTTCTGAGGCCAACGATGCAATCATTTGACATAATGTGAATTGTAATCAAAACAAGTGATGCAAATATATTCTCAAAGAATCAGGCCAAATAGGGGTAATAGCAACTGCCTAGAAAACAACTATTTTAATTATATCTTCAGTTAGTACTCATTAAGTTTTACTACTTAAAGCCGCTATACCGCCCTTAAAAGGCGGATAACGGCAGTTGGGAAACAAAGTTAGGTGAATTGTAGCACAAGTGATTAGGCCTGTGGAAAAATGTCAAGCTCAAGTGTCCCTACATTGCGATGTGGACTGGATTGCGAGGTGCTGTCAGAGTGACTTGCCTGCTACTAAACTTTTGGTCTTATCAAGAACTTCTAGGCCCATTTATTACCTACTAATATTCATGAATTGAGAAGTAAGAATTTAAAGGGAATATTTCGAAGGCATTTAGTCCACATGAACACTGGAAATTCTGTCGCAAATAAAAAACTGTTCTACGTCATTTCAAATTTTTAGTGAAGTAGATTCATCAAAGAAGTTTTTAAGTTCCCAAAAGCAGTCCATTTCCTCATGAAACAATTGCAATTAGCGCGACTCGCCTTTACCTTTACCCCTCTACACATGTGCACCTGACTAGTAAAAAATAATGCCTGATGAAAGAAAGAATCTTACCTTAACATCTGGCCTGGTTGGGTAGGAAAAAGACAAATTCTTAAATTCAATTTTGCCAGAAAAAGAGTCCAACGTCAAACCCTGACCCATAACATCAATTGCGGGAATCTAGGGTTAAATGATTGCTTATTGACGGCAAAATTTTAAGACAACTACGGAGAGATGATATGTGGGTACTTACTCGGTCAATTATCACGAAAATGGATGCTGCAGCACGTTTAGCGTTAGCAAAAAACTCGATTTCCGGCAAGCTTCTCCCGAGACTTGTGTTGCCAATTATGAATGACATCATTACCTTAACAATAAACAAAAATAACGCCTTAGATCCGACGCTTCTTATTTCCTTCACTAAAGGAGGACGACCATTAAGCATTTATGTATGAATATAATTTAAAGCTTTCCATTTAGTAGGGTAACGACTTATGTACGTCAACGCCTGCTTGAAATAAGCATTGCGCTTTTAAGTCCGAAATAGGCCCACGTCTTACCGAAACAATATTGCCGTTGTCATAGCTTTCTGTTATAATAAGCTCAACACCATACCAAAGGATGAGTGCCGAAGCACAGAAGATAGTACAGCTAACCATCCCCATACCTGTATGAAGAAAACGAGGAAATATGGCTCATTGCAGTTATGAAAATGATAAATGGACATTCACGGCATCTTATTGACCGAGGGTGGAATCTTAATGATAAACAAAGAACTTTAGTGACTTCATTGTAACTAGTGATCTTGGAATAATTTAAATCAACGTACCATACGATAAATAAAATGTTTTTTAAAACCACAGAAGAAAATATCGTTGGTGCAGACATACCGAATCCCATTAGCAAGCATTTGAGTTTAAAAACATGAGCCGAAGCGCTCAGCTCCTTCTCATATCGAGCCGACTCCTTATCTTGACATCCAAAGGCAAACACTGTTCGAATTGAAGTAAGGATCTCTGCAGCAACTGAACCAGCCCTCTCATACGCACGAATTTCCTTAATTGCATACTTCCGCAGGGCGAAGCCGAGAGTCATGAAGGCGCCAAGTATAAACGGAGCCATCGTAAAGGAAACCAATGCCAATTTCCAGCCAGTTATTAAAGAGACAACAGCTGCTGCAATGGCAGTGACAACATTCTGAAGGAAATTGCCAAGCCTATCACCAACGCCCCCCTCAATTTGGTCAATGTTGTAACTAAGTTTCGTGATAAGATTTCCAGACGATTGTTCATCAAACCAAGCAACATCCTGTCGTAGAATATTCTGCAGATCAACAGAACAATAGATGGCCGATAAACAACTAAATTCTTAAAAAATCTGCATGGGCATTCCTAAAATGCGACAGTTATCAGCTATGTTGAAAATTTGAAGAAGGGCTCTTACGTCAACTATATAAGTAAATGTTAACCAATGCTTAAAGCGCTAATTTATTTTGTCGGTCATTTTCTTCATGACTTTATTTAAAATAACAATGAATTTAAATTGAGGCTTCACGGCAAAAATAGCCCTTGAAGGTAGACTTGAATGCGCAAAAAATCAGGATGAATCAAACAAAATATACAATATAATAACAAATGCAACTTAATCTTTATTCAAATTGGCACTAGTGGAACACCGCTATTATGAAACAGCAATAACCTTAAATAATAGCAAACGGATGCGTCTGCCTTGACGTTTTGCGGAGACAGTAAGTCCAAACATTTGTAAGAATGATATAACAAAAGTCACACAGCCGATGGATATGTAGTATGGTAAGAAAACGCGCATCTTCTGTTCGAGTGGAACATTTGACTTATCCGTGAATGAAGTCACAAGCTTTGAAAGAAGCAGGAGTGAAAGTGGCTGCGCCAGCCCCGTCACAATGCTTCCGATAATTCCAAGACAAAAAAGAAATCTGTCAGTAGCATCCGAAAATCGTAGCTACAAGTTTTCATTAAAAAAAGAGCATACCAAGTGGTAGAATTTTAGTGGTGATTCACCATTATCAAAATCTGCGTTTGAAAAAAATCCAGCATCGGAAGTTGGGTCTTCTAAAGTGAAGCTTTGTTCGTCCTTTTCGACTTCCATTAGAAGCAAAAGTCGAAGCCAAAAGCATGGTCAGTTTCAAGATATATACTGATTGGTTGTCATAGTGTCGGCGACAGATAAGACGATAAAACGAGAAGCGGTTAAGTAACACTTACTTAAAATAAATCTTTGATGCGTTGTTTTTAAATACTCAGGACTATAGAAAAGATAGTATTGTAGAAGAATGCTATTGACTAAAGTCCATTCAATGTTTGTAGCTCTCCGGGACTTCTCGCTAGTCAGAAGAAGGCTATAAGATGGGCCGAATGCTTGTATTCCCAAAAGCCGAGGAAGGGATCGGTCCTTGACCGACCCACGTGTGCAAGATCAAGACGAATATTAGAGTAACCGCCGGACGTAAGGTGATCACATGGACAAAGTAGTACTCTGACTCTTTTCCTTTTAGAACTACGTCATCAGCGCTACCATTGTTACACCAACGCCAGTCATCATAATATATCTGGGACTGCAAGGGAGCATCCACAAAGCGACAGCGCCGTTTATCAGCTGCTATGGGACCAAAGAACTGTACTCGACTTCCTCAGCACCTTCGAGTAGGTCTGGGTTTACGTTAGTTATTAGGACATTGATTATAGAGTATCTTCTGCTGACTATCGATTGTACCCAGAGGTTGGAACTGTAGTAGACTTCAAGAGGAAGCTGGTTGCAGACGCTTTATTAGGAAGGATGGGGAATGGGATACAGATGAGGTGAGTTGGAGATATCAATCGGAGGGAGGCTTCTCGCCAACTTCACGCACGTGATTCACGTTCCCGATTGGTTCCTGCCTCTCACCTATAAAAGTACACGTAAACAAGCTAGTATATATTAGAGGAACACTGGTTGAATACAAATGTGTAATCGGAAAACGGGAAAAAATACAGACATGAAGGGGTGAGGATTCGAAGTAGGGCTTCTATGGCAATGCCGCTTCAGGTGTTAGTAGTTCACCCGTCGGACATTGGAATGAGGTAGAACCAAATTCAGGCATCATTATTATTCCTTCTGTTTAAAAAAATTTTTGAGAGTTTACTCCCAGAAGTGTGTACTCTTCATCCACACCAAAGAGGAATGTTATAAACTGTGGGCGAAATGATTAGAATGCTTACAATTTGCGATCGCTATACATTGTCACCGATAAAGCTTCGCACCACTTCTGATTAATTATGAGAAGGTATTAGGTGTGGCTAAGAATACAAGCAACAAATGGAAGATGTGGGAAATTAGGCTTAGCTTGCATAGTTCAAGCACAAGAGTACTATAAATACCAAAATGCCTTTAATCATATAGATACTTAAATTAACTATTTTTTTTTAGGATGTGTGGCGTCTCACGACCTCTCATTTGATTTTAGAAAACATGAGACACAGATAAATACTATTTCCAAAGGCCTGACCGCGGCGGTGCGATCATTAATGATGTAACCAGTAAACTATGCAACATGCCGCCACGAAGCATAAAGATTTGGGTGAACGTGACTTATAAGTTAGAGGCAGGCGTTCATGTCTAGAGCCACAGAAAAATGAGCTTTTGAACCGTTCCAATGGACCAAAATAGACAATTCCTTGTGCAGACATATGTATATCTAGGCTTGTAATCTGTGAATTATATAATAATATTCGGAATAAATTGAGACCCTTTATTACAGTCAACTTTAAAATGGGTGTAAGGCTTTGTCTACTCGACTAGTCAGCTGATAGACACTCTGTATCTTACATTGCCTTTAATAGGGTGGGGTGGTCCTCAAGCCAAACCACAGCCCATCCTCTTCCCCTTCCGTTTGCATGCATGTACTTAGCCATGCCTAACACCTTCTATCACCAAATGGAAAATCCCGCCACGTTACACTGGTAGCAGTGGAAAGCCAACCCGGCTTTATCGCCACCTCGATTCTCGTTTCCATCATTGATGACTAGCTTTAGCAGTGCATAAGAGGTGCACTGGACCTGGATATAAGTGATAGTTAACCGAGGTTTCCCATTATGATTTCTGCTTTAAGGCCGAGCGTAACTGCAGGTCTAATGGAAGCTGCTGGGAGAGTTAGCGCCTTCGAACGCTTTTTATTGAAACTAACAACTGGTGAGGCTGGCTCGTAGATAGTTGCTTGTAGCATCTGATATGGTTTGATAACTTGAGTGTAACATGAGGAACGCCGGTGCGGTTGCTAGATATAAGAAGGCATTAAGTTAAGTCTAAGGTGTGTATTCCAGGGAAAGGAAGGAGATTAGGCGTGGGCTTGGCCCGAATGCCAGACCATACCTACAAGGACCAGACGAATACGAACGTAACCACCAGATATCAGGTGGTCGTCCTAAAAGGTATAAAGACACTGTTCGTTTACCTTTGTGTTAGCGTCCTTTTGGCCTTAGGGCGAAGCTGAAGCCAAAAGCAGCACTTACCTCTAATTATTAAGCCTCGTGGTGTTACTACAGGCGTTTGTTTCACAACCGCGCTTAAGGGAAAATCCATATGACCTCCAAACAGGATTACATTTCCCTTCCCTCTACCTTTGTTCTCTATCTATTTCATGGCGTGCCTTTACGTCTAGCAACGCACTCCGGAGGCAGAACTCTATGGAAGCGATCAAATTGGAGCCCAAAACTACTTATGTTAAGCCTACGCCTGAGAGGTAGCAAGCAACTTCTGATTTTAAATGATAAGCATATGAAATCACATGCCTTTGCAAAGTACAGAGAAGTGGTCGACTTAGTAAGTACTACAGTAGCGTAATTGCTTAAAGGGTTGACTAGCTAGTGGGTGACGCCTAACAAAGTAGCTTGATGGAATTATCAAGTCGTCCCATTTAGTCAACCTAATGCCAAATATAGCTTTTTCAATCCACAATTTTCAAAAAACATTAAAAATCTGATAATTATCAATTATGAAATTTTTATTAGTGAATTAGCTGTGTGTTGTTCTTAATGCAAGTGTGTCTGCATCATTAAAAGTCCAAGCCATCGTGTTAATTGTTTGGTCGGGTCGGTGCTGAATTTTAAATCAGCAATTGGAATGCTAGTTGCCGCTGGCGTGGCGCTCGCAGGTGAGCTTCTGATGATTTTTTTTCGATGGGCGGGCTGACATTTCCGATGAAAGTCGATATCTGACTATTCATGTGTACTCATCAATTCATCTTCTACTACAGGTTGTGGTGATCCGTCCTCCATCCAATTCGCGCAACAGAACATCAGGTATATGGCACTTATGTGATGATCATGCACCACTATGATAGTGATTATAGCGGTTTACTTTCTGATTGTTGACTATTGTCGCCTTAAATGCTTCGGGGTGTGCCCATTTTAGGTTAACGGTGGATCAAGGTGGCTGGTAGGTGACTGCTGATGACACATACGCTATTCCTACTCCAAGTGCGGTGTTCCTAAAACTGATCTAACATCTGACTAAATTTGATTTAATTCATTTTAGGTGATGTTGGTGGCCGTAGGTTCCGAACGTCAGGTATGGCTTGCTCTCTTATCAGTGTCAAGCCTCTCTTGATCCTTGCGGCCGGCACGTCCGCGGCTACTAAGTGAGGCGAAACTGACGCGTTTTTGCAACCATTTGGGGGCTCTCAAATGTACTCGAAACTCGACATAATTTCATAACCCTGCCCATGAGTGCTCGCTGTGTTCAGTGAGTAATTGTGTAGGGGATATTGACTCTGAATCACCGACTTCCATTCACACAATTGTATGCAGCAGAGGTCGAGAGGCAGCGAAATTCTCACAATAAACGAGATCGTTCGTGCAAGTCTTTATTTAGTGCGGGAACTGGGTACGCAGGTGGTAGTTGATTTGCCAACTCATCCGGACGAACTCGGGTGCGGGTCCAATCCCGCCGGTGGCTCGCTCTGATGTCCCATACCACGAGTCACGTTGAGGCATGGTCGTAAGTCAGTACACGAGAATACCAAGGCGGAATGGCACGAAGGTTTATAAGAGTCCTTTAGGTACAGGATCTCAGTTCCGATGGTTCTTCCGCTGGTTTAGTCGCCTTCAGCTCCGTCGACAACCGATCGTGCAAACGCAATATTTTGGGCGGGGGGCCAGTGCCGGCCGCCCAATCCGCAACATCCTGAAATAAACTCGCACTAAACGAAGTGGCAGCACCAGTGGGGTGACTATGCGTGAGACATTATCACTTCGGAGATGCACAAAAAGGGAGACAAAATAGAGGGCTAGCGAAGCTAACGTTACCTGAGTGTGAGGCTCCACGCTCAAGTCCTTCACACGACGCTTGTGTGGCTTCCCTTTCTCGTGCGCCTTTAAAGAGGGCACGTCGCAGAAGTACTTGTCGCAGGAAAGACAATAGATTTGACCGAGGGCTGGTTTTTCTTCGTCTATCTCTGTTGCTACTCGAAGTCGTTTCGAAATGTTTTCCGGCTTTTGGTCCTCGTAGATCTGGTCCAAGTCCCGACGCCTGTACTTTAACTTGAGCGCAGAAGAACGTGGCATCCTCTACTGCGGACACCCTCATTCGAACCTTCTGCTCTAGGTCGCGGCGAAATGACTTAAACATCGGACTTTCGGAGGAGGTTCTGAAAGCATAATATGCTATTTTTTATGTCAGTTTAATTTTCCTATACGCTTGAACTAAATAAATAAATGCGTGTTAAATTTAAATTTTGCGTAGCTATAGATCATTAAAGAGTGTCTAGTTTACTGCACACTTTCAGGCATCAAAAGTTATATGATTCTCAGATACGATGTCTGATAATTACTACATTAGATCTTTAAAAACTGGCCTAATTTTTGTTATAACTGTTATTACAGAGAAGGCCGCTAATTAAATAGGGTCCGGGTGGGACAACATGGAGTTGGGAGCTGACGGGGCCGTTGTCACTGATTCAGGTGATTATTTGGTGGTATCTTTATTTTATAGGTGGGACCAATGACAGTGATGCAAACGGTTTACCTGAGGGTGCTTTGGAAGTTTCAATTTCTCCGAACACGTCTGTAAGCGTCGTTGATACATCTATTGGAAATGATCCTGAAGTGGATAACAGTGCCAACGCTGATAAGTCTTCTATGAGGGATGATTTTGCAGACGTAGCGATTGGTAAATTTGGTGACGAGGAGGATACTGATGAGGATGATGATACTGTTAATGTAATAATTAAACCTTCAAAGGGGAGTATCTACAAAACTGGTACAACTTATCAAGCACGATCCCAGCAGGCTGGTGCTCAAGGTTCGCTCTGACTGGTTTTTTTTGCTCTTTCCTGTTTTACTATTGTGTCGTTTATTGCAGGCCAGAAGACGTTAAGAGCAGGGATAAACATAAACGACCCTGGAGGTATACAAGGTGTCCCTACAATAGAGTTTAATATTTCGTCGTTGGGCGAAGATGACAAACCTTGGAAAAGGCCTGGTGCTGACATCACTGATTATTTCAATTATGGATTTACAGAAGATACGTGGATGCAGTATTGCGAAAAACAAAAGATTCTTCGCCAGGAATATGCTAACACAGCTCTTAAGCCTGTCCTGGTTGGTACTGCTACGGGTTTTGGCCTGACAAATATTTCTTCTGGAAGCCATCGAGCGGGCATGCGGTTTCCTCAGCAGCAGCAACTTCAGAACAAGGACATACATGTTCTTAGCGGTCGTGGTCGTTCCCCTTCAGTTAGTGATGAGGAATTGGAAAAGCGAAATGGTCTTTTGGGGCCCGGTCAGGCTTTTAACATTCCCCCTCCGTGCTTCGCTCCGCCTGCCGCTGGAGATGCCCTCAGTCATTTCGGGAACGTTGCTAATGCTTTAAATTTTCCGCCACCTGGATTTACGAACACTTCTGTACCACCTCCTCTTCTTGGATCAGGATTCAGTTCTCAGCAATCAGGTCATCAATGGCCACAGTCCAACATTGGGGGTGGACTGCTTCCTCTATTTCCTACTCAATCTGTTCGGTCGACTGGCGGAAGAAATCATCACTCAGATAATCGGAGGGACAGAACCCCAGAAAATCAGTTGTAGGTTTTCATGTGATTTTAATTTGCATGCAAAGCCCCGTTTACAGTTCTAACGTCCTGACTAGTCTTTATTTAAAAACGGGTCGTGATTGATGGAATCCCTGCGGATTTCTCTGCTCGCTGGTGTTGGACAAGGAGTGGGTATTAATGCTGTTCATTTTTTTTTAAGTTCGGAAGACGAGTCGAACGATTGTCGTCGCTCCCGCTATCGCGGTGAGGAAGAGCAGGAAAGTCGCTACGACCGGTGAGCTGTAGAATTTTGCCGTATTATAGCATTTTGTTGGGCGAAATAGTTTAGTAATGTTTGGGGTTTGGTGTGAGATGTGTGGCTCATTTATTGATTGCTTTGGTTCGGCCCAGGTTTCCTAAAACTAGTTGTATCACGAGTCATGCACAATACAATACTCAACACTAGCTATCAAAACATGTACGTCTCTTGCCATGTAGCGGTCCCACTGGTTTAACTTTCATTTTTGCGTGTATGTTTAATTCTATTCAGAGATCATCGTACCACTCGTCGCAGTCGATCGCGTAGTCGGGACTACCACTATGGAGGACGCAGTAGACGGTGAGTGCATCATACTCCAGTATCACTTGAACCCCAATCCAATTTTTAGACCAAATATGGCCTTGTCTTAGCTGCCTATCCATGTTTATTCAAATCTGCGTAAAACGGTGGGTTTTTGGAGTGTAGTTTTAAGGGCACTTTTCCTCTGTGCGGAACAGGGCCTTTGATAGGGTAAATGCTGCGATGGGAAGAATGCATGATGTTTTGATGTGGAGAGATTGAGATGATTTGTAATATGTGAGGAATCGAGGAACTAACCGATAATTATATGCAATATGTATCAGGGTATTGGTGCAGAATTAAACATTCTCTTCTCTGCCAGGCGCCATCAATTCACTGTTTCACAAAATCGGCTAAATTTAGTGGACCTGACTTCGTATTATTTAATGTACGAAAAGGACTGAACTCGATTTTGAGGGCTGCACTGGATGCTTCTCTAGGCTAGGCAGCGCTGGAAGGAGGTGCGACCAAAAGTGATCCTTACAATTCAATCGAAACAGTCAATGACACCTGCAAGACGCAGGTTTCCAGGTTTGCACATCAAGGTAGGACTGAGGGTGATTGGTGACATTCTACCTCATCCTCATTTTCGCCCTGCCTTCTGGTCTGACACTGCTTCTTGAGTGAAAATCACAGGATACTAGGATTGGAGGAATGGAGGGTGATCATTTTTTCACCCTGACACAACTTTGCTTGCGTTTAAGTAGCGTATTTATTGAGACTTTCTGATCCAATATTTTAATACTCTTGTCAAGTGATATCTGGCTGTATTTAGTAAGGAGGTATGTCCATCTCGTTGGCCAAATCGTCAGTTAAAAATGTTCAATGAGCGTTGGTGTGATTCGTAGATTCAGTTTTCTCCATTTTTCGTTCTTCCATACTCTTGGTAAATGAAATAGAAGTTTCAACAATTAATCTTTAGTTACCATGATGAATCCTCTCGAGACTTCGTTCGCCATGGTGAACGCTCGTCTCGGAGACGCATATCACGTGAGCGTCGTCGGGACCGATCACGTGAGCGGTCTCGTGAAAGAGACCACTCATTGGTGCCCTCGGTCAGTTCAGGTAATGTTCCTGCAGGCGCCACTACAGGATCTGCAGCCGAATTTGGTGTTTCGCGCTCCACTCGATCTGGCGAGTCGAGACGACGCAGCGAGAGAGAATCTCATCGTAGTCATCACCGTCACCGCCGCACCTCTCGTCATCGTTCTCCCTCATGTCAGTCATCCCGAGCTGAACCCACTGAACCCCTAACTTCACAGCTGTCTGTAGTCCCTTCTCAGTCCATTGATCCTCTCGAAGCCGCATCAGCTGCTGCCGCTGATATAAGCGAAAAAATACGTCGGGCTAGTGCCGGCGATATTGTGTCTGGTTAAACTTGTGGACACTTATTGTAAATAGTCGAGTTCGAATTTCTTGTTCACATTTTTAGCACTTTTGTTAGATGGTTTTATGTGCGTCTGCTGTTATTCTTGTATTTTTCAGAGTGTTAAGGAAAGCGATTTTACAGGGTGGGATGGGCAGAGTTGGTAGTCGGCAGTAGATTCTTTTTTATGCATCGAATCACTTAATTAATTCTCTTGTACTTTATTTACCCGTTTTTCACAGTCGTGGGGAATTCCCGGTGATCTCCTCGTTTCATGATAGTCTTCATGACTTTTGATGAAGCTAGGGTGGAGCACTGATTTCTATTTGTCCTCGTTTCAAAACGTGACAGTTAAACGTTCGGGGTTTGGTGACGTGCACGGTACTTTTGGTGAGACTATTTGCTTTACTTATTGTTAATAGTAGATAGCAGAATTGGGGATCAGAAAACATGCATAAGCTGTCTTCCACTTGACTTTTTAGTTATTAATAAGTTAGTCTTGCGCTGTCGCCTTTCTTTGAACAATTTATGGGATTTATTGGAACGCAATTTGACTTTCATCAACAGGCTGCTTTGTATTTTGGGTGCCGTTCAATTAAACGAGTATGGTCTGCGGGAATTGGTAATTGGATCTGAGTTTCTGGGGGAAATTGCTCATGGAGTAGGGCGGCTCGTTCTTTCGAGCAAGGGCGTTGGAGAAGACTGTTTCACTCCCATTTATCTTTCTTTATTAAGGCGTTAGTGGCTGCTGTCATTAGGTGCTGTTTATTCTGCAGTGATTTGTCACGAATAGCTAAGCCTTCGTACCAAGCTGCTTTCATGTGGGTTTCTGTGGCAGAAGTGAAAGGCATCGTAAGTTGTTTGCGGTTACCTATGGGTAGTTTTAGCCGAAAATGAAGTTTTTTGTCAATAGCTGTCCAGGAAATTGTTAGTAGATGCAGTTTTAGTGGAAAACAGCATATCGTCATATTACTCTCACATCTGCTCTCTGTCATTTAGTTTGTGGGTTTTTGACGGTGTCCTTCAAGTCTTTTATGCACTGAAGCGTAATTGGTACTTTAATTTCGTATGATATCGTCTTTAAGTGCGCTGCTCATGCCCTCAGAGATATCATTTGCTAAGGATGGTCAACCTCTGAGGGAAGGAAGTTACTGCAAAGAATTTTAAAAAATGATAAATTGGCCTACGATAAGAGGCCAAATTAGGGGATTCATAAACCTAGCGGCCATGGTTTGCAGGGTGATCTTTTAGTTAGCGCAGATCTGGTTGCTTGTTTCGTCACCTGCTCAGAATATCGGAGTACATATACTGTGGTAGTATCTGCAGCTCAGTTCGGTTTAAAAGGCGACATTAGTGATTACACAATGCATTAACATCAAAACTAATTTAATCTTCAAACAAATGATTTGCTTGAGCGGTCAAGAAGTCTAACTCTTCGGCATCAAGCACTATTGAAGGCGCTTTCAAATGTTGATTTAAAGTGAAAAAAAGTGGTTATTTTTGCATAAGGAGCATTCTATCTCAACCTTAACACTCAACCCAATCGACCTGCCTGAGAGGCAATTTTGGCACGCAACTATCACAATTTGGTAGGAGCCATTATCTACTCACTGTTGGTTGGAGGTAGGACCACTGAAGTCACACAACGTTGTCGACATACTTTTGACCTTATGCGTTTAATCAACAGAGGCATTCATTGATTGCCTTAATGCTTGCCACAAAGCTAAAGGTCGATGCTAGTATGTAGGCTGAATTGGCATAAGTTGAGTAACTATGGCTTTCAAGCTTAAAGTGCAATGAACCTCGTCCTGTATGCGTTGTCTTCCTAGGACTTCTTTTAAGACGGAAGAAGACAGTACTCGGGTGGAATATATTTGTGGTAGAGGTAGGGAGGACTGCCATAGCTTAGACTCGGATGATGACAGGGACTTAAAGTGATCCCTTCACAGCTGTGATGTGATAAGCCTAATAACTTGATCAGCGTCTCAGAGACTGCGTCACACGTCACCGCGACCGTCAATATTGTACATGCAATGTGTTGTGTCAACTTTCGGTTTTGGTACTGAGTTGTCTGATTCTCCGATATTGTAATTTTAGGTCGCGTCAGCATCTCAGATCTCAAATATGCGCCAATAACACACTGTCAAAGCACTGTGCTTATTCTCGTTTTCAGGATAAGCTTTGGATACGGCGCATGCATACGTTATGGCAATTGGAAAAGGCTATATGGCGGTAAAATGATGTAGTTATGAGTAAATACCGTCAAAACCATCAAAATTTGTGCACGCAAACAATACCTCGAGCCACGTCAATCTGTAGTGTGTAGGAGGCGTGATGCTCAATTTACGCCCTCAGTCGCGAAGTGCTCTCCCTAATTCGTTAAATGGAATTTTTGCATTAAAAAAAGTGGGATGCATAACCTCAGACAAACCTTCCTACCTGTAAAATGTGAGCCGATTAAAAGCATCATTTAGATATCTGATGACTAAGTGGTAAGCGCTCTAGTACCAATTTGCAATCACAATTATGCGACCTTTCTCTTTTGCATTATTTTTAATTAAGCCCGCCTTTCTAATTGTGCATGTCATGGTGACCGTGGGTGTGTACACAGCAAGGGCTTCATCTGATGGCCCAACTCGCTGGCAGTCGGCTTTCTTGTGCAGGGATGAAATGCGATCTAGACATTTCTCACATGAAGGAAAACAAGTCATCAATGGAACCTCCTAATCACTCCCACAGATATTTTATCAGGCTGATGTGCAGTCCTAAGTGTTTGGTGGATAATGGCTTGCATTCCCCCTAGGATACGCCTCCAAACCAGTCACAATTAATCCTACGGTTTCTTATCTCTGCAATAGTCATCAGATGACATCTTAGCGTTAATTCCGCAACCTTAAAGTACTGTAACTAGTCTAATTGACCTGAAGCTGTTGCCATCACAACCAATGTCTGTCAAGTAAGTGTGCAAGCGCTCTGTCATACAACTGAATAACACGCACACTTCGTTGCACTGAGTACTGTAACAATAAGGGTGCGGTGATTGCTCGTCTATCACCGTTCCGTGTAGAGATACATGCGCCAAGAGAAGCATAAATTGCCAGCAGCTGGGCTAACCTAATCACAGTGTCACCTGGCCTGAACTAAAGGATAAATCATATTACAACCCATCATGGCGTCGATATATTCAGGACTATCCACATCGAATCACGCATTACTGACGACAACTTTGACTGTACATCCTTATTAAGTTCTGTGGAGCCAAGATCTCCCCGATTTAATTCTGTCACGGCTCCAGAGCTACAATAAAATATACATTAGCTTCCCAACGCACTGTTTTCGCAAAGGAGCCCTAAGAACCTCTGTCAAGCAAACCAGCCTCAAAGCCATATCACCAGCATTCAAACTCTGTCCTGTGTTGGAAACATATATTTGGTCTAAATATAGTATCTTCTACTCCCTTCAGAGGGGTCTCAGCTCTACATTGGTGAAAGGGGAAAACGAACCAACGAAACACCCTAACCTCTACTGTTGTGGGGTCAGTGCTCACGTTGTGACCAGATGAATGGAGACCCATAAAAGAAGAGGTAAATATGATGTTTATCTTCGCAGTTCAAAAGTGTCATGATCCTCAGTACAACTTTTTATTGTGACGTTGCTTACAATTGCCATGTTAAGAGAGTGCCGATGCGAACTCGCGCTATACCTCCTCTAAAGCTCCGATGGATACAGTTTGACAACTCTAGGATGAAGAAAAAGGGTAGGAAGGATTGCTAGCGGAACCTCAGCCTCGCAGTACTGTGCTGTTTTGCCCATTGTTAGTTTACTCTGTATTTTTGTTGGTTTCCCCATGCCCAATTGCAGGCGCACATGATGTTCACCACGAGCCTACCACCTACTCCTCCCTCCTCTCAGTACGGTTCCCAAAACTTCAGATTGAGCAGAAACACCAAGACGGATCAGCGAAGTTACAGTCAAGTAGCTTCTCAATTGTATGGTACAGTTGACACCTCCTCGCAACATCGACTACACTATGATGGCTGATGCGAGAATGACCGAGAAAAGCCGTAAGGACGACGACTGAAAGGAGAGAAGGGTTATGCAACGCGTTAGACGATCATTTAACTTTCATTTTCGGTAAAGAGAAAACCTTGATGTTAATAACCGCTCTGCCACCTTTCAGAATATCGATGATACATAGCTTGGCCGAGTCTTATAGCCTCTTCCATTGGCAAAGAAGACTGAACCAATATACTGTGCAACTGTGCTACCTGAGAATTTTTTAAACTCTGATATACCCATAATTTACTCATCGTTATGTAACATTTCAGCTCAAAAGGCAAGAACTGATTCAGCTCGAATTGAGTGCAAGTATATATCAATCAAAAGAGGCTACAAAAAATTAGCACTAGCTTCAATAATATTAAGGCTGGTGGTTGCTACCTTAATCTCTATAACTTGAAAACTACCGATTCAAGATATGACCAATGTAGGGATGAGAAATTTCCTACTAGCTTATACGCTTCATAAAGTTGTATGGCCCACTCCAGAGAGAAGCTTTGAAGGATATGGCTGTGACGTGCATTATGCACCTTTGCATCAATTCTCCACTTCAACGCCCACGTATTTTGTTACAATTCCTAATTGATGCATTTCGCTAAACAGTCATCAGTCTTCAGGACAAGAGTTCTGATGAGCAATGAAGAGAACTTACCAAGACCGCTGACTAGTAAAGAGTATCCAATGTCTCTCGCCAGCTTTGTGTCGGTTTGCCATCACAGTGTTCCTATTTACGACGTGTTCGGAAGGAGAAAGTGTAACTCCTTTCCCAAAGTCCTACATTAAAAATTAAGGTAACGATGCGGAGTATACAGCATATCCACCAAAGGGCCATTAAAATTCGCAAACAACGGCATACGAAACATACCCAGATTTTCCACTGAGACTGTTGGACCATTTCATAGAAAATGAGCGAGGATTTGAAGTAAAAGATGGTACAAATTTGATCTGCGCAAATGGCTTTAATTATACAATGCAGAAAGACAATTGAGCTACAACAAAACATGAGTATGATGTGATAACTTCTTACAGCCCGATTGAAAAGGATAATGCAAAATAGAGAGAAAGGAATGGTGTAGGTAACAAAGTTTAATTCATCAAATTATTAGTTAACGGGAGACTGTCTTTGGCAATATTGTTTGTGCTGAGAGGATCGGTGACGTGAATCATGTAGGCCCTCCAGTAGATAGCACTCCCCGCCGCAGTCAGCAGCACACCCACCCACCAGAATCCGGTTGTGTAGACGCGGAAAATGACCACAGCCAGAATAGTCTGGAGGAGAGATCGCACCAGACCAATCAACTCTAGCCGGCCTGTTGAGTGAGTCGTGGCTTCACGGAGCACAACTGTACCCACGAAGGACGAGGTGACACAGCTTAGGGTAAGTAGCGACCAGAAGAGCACTGTTTCTAGGCTGTGCATTCAGAAAAGGACATTATGATAAAGGGGAAGCCGATAGAGAGCAAAAATAGATAACCGCACAACAAAATACATTGTTTATGCATGACCTAAAGCATGTCACAAGTATGCGTTGGGTTAATTAAGCCCCGTAGAGACTTTAAAAGCACACTTCACAGATGAAATGCTTGAAAGGATGAGCGTAACTAGCAATGCTTCCAGAAGTAAAATTATTTTTATACATGAATGATAGTACACTTTGCGATAGAATTAAACTATATCTATACAAAACGAGCCTAGAATATAAGGAAAACATCCAGTACTTTCGGCTCGCATGAAAATCAAACATTCAAACTAAAAATACACTCAACGGCGTGGTAACATGGCTACCACAAAATAAACTATGCACCAACTAAAATTACTTGATGTTCATCTCGATGGACTCTTCAGAAGTACTTTTATACCGGCTATTTGATTCAAAAAGAGAAATCCCGGCGTGCTCAAGTATTCGACGTCAAAAATAGCAAGGATGGGGTTGAAGCTTTTTGGTGGGTGTTTTCAAAAGGCGGTGGCATATTAACCAATATGAGCCTCTTCTTAAGGGGAATGAGAGTTAATTTATGCAGCTCATTGTGAGAGAAAGATTACCTCGAAAAAGGTGTGATCTTCGAGCAGACCACAAACAGCATTTATGCAAAGTTCTGAGAAATCAACTCAAATCTGACGTATTAACCTTTATGAGCCGCAATGTCTCGTGTTAAAAAGAAGAAATAATTAACCAACACGAATACGTGAGAACCGTGAATATCAACTGAAGAGCAGGGTGCGGTATGTGGAAACGCAACAGCAAATTATGAAATGCAACTGAGAGCATACACTAGCGGGAGAAGCGCCTCCTCACAAGTACAAAACCGGTTCATACGTAGCAATATTGTTAACCCATCGGTTGGACCACCCAAAGCATGCACTACTCTGCTGTGCTATGAAAGCGCTCAAATACGTTAACATAAAAAGCCCTGCCCTTTCTTAGATTGGAAATAAGGACACAAAGGTGTTTACTGAAGCTTAGCTAACTTACTAGGGAGAATATGGGAGAAACATAAGCTCCGAAGCCTCAGTAAAAGTAATAGCTATGAGTGTAACGAGGCTGCAAACGACATTGTTTAAGTAAACCTGCTTCAGATGAATGTCATAGTTATTGCCAGACGAAAGACGACACGCCTCCTGGTAGTAGATGACGACGAACAGAGAAGAGAGAACGCCGAAAACGACACCTTCAGCAATCAATAGATCTTAAAAAGAAAATCTTGGTGAGTGCCAAGCGAGTATGGATAAAGGCTTCATCTGAGCCACTAAGACGGGTGATCGATAACGTTTCGAGCAACCGCATAAAAACTGTGCACTATAATACTCATAAATTGTGCTGTCAATCTTCATCCCAGATCTATCAAAGTGGGTAATCCAAAAATTTATTCAGTTACAAACGACATTCTATCAAAGCTTGGAAGCGAAGAGGTAAGAAAATAGGATGAACCTCAGTGACAAGACTGTAATTGGTACTGCCACCGAATAGATGAACAGCAACATTTGAATCAAACTCAGAAAATCTAATTCACTAATTCTCGAATGGCGACATCTGATCACCCGTATTGGAGGAGTGATTGATAAATTTACCACCACCCGTCGATAAGTATCGTGAGAAATGTGAAACTACACACTGACGAAAGATAATATGTATCTACGGTGACCATCGGTTTTAGAACAGGAATAAGCCTTTGGTACCCCTCAAAGGTCTGATTAATGGAGGTGCAGAGCACGTAGATCACCGAGGCGTTACTGTATGCACCATTTGAATAGAATCGCCTAGCATTGTTGATAACCATTCGAGTACTGCAATGTCCATGCATTTAAATTGATTGTCGTAGCTTAAAAAACCGCTATACCAATGTTCGCAACCGAACTAAACGAAGCACAAAACATTGCCTAAGGAACTAGTTCTTCCCAGGCACAAATTATGTGAAATGAAATTGAAGCAAGTTCCTGAACAGAAACACAGGGTTGAATAAGATAAGGAATGTTGACTGTTGCAATGTAAATTGAAATGTATTTACGTGTCTGCATAGAACTTACTAGTCAAGTTCTCCTCAATTAATGTAATGATATACCCAACAAACACCAAAAGAGCGCCCAAAAGTACACCAATGCAATTGTTCACTGACCGACTACGGTACGTAAAAATCTGAAATAAGGAACAGTCTTTGAGAATAATCTCTACCATTCCATGAATAACCATGTTCTTATGGAGGAGAGTGCCAAATTGAAAACTAATGGAACTGTTTAAGAGCTGGATGATGCTACAATAACCCACCCCCCGAGGTCGACGAAAAATTTAGACAGAAAGAATAAAAATACCTAGAGGAATAATGAAGGGCAGCCCTCGACAACAATTATACAAATTAAACAAGCGTTATGCGACAATATGTGACTTACCAGATTGATGGGGACAGCTAGAGAACGCGCAACGAAATACATTGACATATCCATGTAATACAGGCATAAATTGTTGCAGATTATCATGAGGGCGAACGCGAGAGACAATTTGATATTCTATCAAATTGTTAAGTGTGAGAAGAAATTACCAGAGAGTGCTCTCTAGCTGAAACAAAGAAACCCTGTTTCAAACTTCGTACAATAGAAAAGGAACTGGACCTGAGTTGAATGAGACAGACAGCTACTGTGACCATGCATTCAGCAAATGTAATCCAAAGAGGTCCATCAAACTAGATCGAGGGTTTACGCAAGAGGATCATGTTACCAAAACGTTGATATTCCAAAACAGTGAACGATGTACAAATAATAAAAAGGCCGAGGCCAATCCATGCACCACTGAAAGCCATAATCCCGAAAACCAGTTGAGCACTTTCTAAAAATAAAAAGGACAATTAAAGAAGAACCAGAGGAAACCAATCTTCCTGCAAACACTTGTCGAGATGTAACAACGGAACAGCGAAAAACTTGGGCATGTTCAAGGTTAATTAACAAATGCTAACTTCTAATCAAGGAAGCGAAACCTCTCCCCTTGATAAAATTGAGGATCGCACAGTACACACCTTTTCCCCGAAATAGTTATAATTTTCATTACCGCAGACCACAATGACCGTAACAGTGCTGATATTACATAACCAGACTAGCAATACAAAACAAACATCATAGAGAGAAATCAGGCCCGATGGCAAATATCAGGAAAAGTATTCACAGTAAAGCTCAATACAAAGCAAGTGAAGCCAAATCAAAAGAGGTGGAGCAGACGAATAAGTATGGGTGTTCATGTTCGTGAAACGTTCCCCTTTGAATTGAAACAATGTAACAAGTGACCTACTGGAAAAAGCACACGATCATTCCCAAAAGAACATTCTGTACACTAGTAAAAGATAGGAGAAATTGCGATGAATGGTTGCAATATGCAACAGTCAAAACAAGAGGAGTCCTGACAAAGAAGGCTTCAATATCGTTTATTTGAATATCCAATAGAGAAAACAAATGAATGTTACAGAATACCAGTGAGCTGTAGTTTCTGTAACCTCGGAACCGGCAAATGAGCTGAGTCCGCCATATACTAATTCCACTTTGGATCTGGTAGATTCGTTAGAGCAGACGCATTATGAGACACGAGAGAAAATAAAGTCATGACGGCAAAAAAGGCGACACGAGTTATAGTGTGGTGGAACACTAACATGCTAGATAAATCCCAACATTGTAGCACTGATGGTGGAACCATAGCTTTTCTGGCTATGAGGTAGACTGGCACAGTACTCGGTAGATGTGCCTTCAAAACCTATGGTACACAGAAATTGACCATATCCTGGTGTGTTTGAGCTCGATGCATAGTAAACTATAATAAAATAGGTCCTAAAGCTACGGCGCAAGTCCTACAAAAGAAAACGTGAAAACAAGAGCCATCAAACACGAAGTCATTGCGTGCATTTATGAAGTCAAAATCTAACAAAGAAGTCAGAGCCAAATAGGCATTGAGAAGAACCAACTGTGCAGTGGGAATGTACCATGATACACAAAGTCTTGAAGCCAGCAACAGTGCAACACCGCAGTCTAGCCAGCCAAATTTCGGGAACACAAAACTGCCGATCCTATTGGATAAGAAACTGCGTAACAAAAGTAATGAGTCCATCTAAAGAAAGCATTACGTGCGCCAACTGCCTCATTCAAAAGAAGGCATGCTAAACAGTGTCATCTTGAAGAATTTTATAAATGTCTTAAAAGTTCTGCTTACTGCGCTACTTACTCTGTTGTGATTTCATTTAAGCCACATAAGAACTACAAGTTTTGCGCATTATTTTATAAAAGATCGACGTCCACGAGCAAGGAACGGTTGGCGTTATAAATGTAATATCTTTTGACATTAAATAATAGTGTATTTACAATGCAGAGCCCCGGAACTTCCCAATTGGTTGGATAGGACATTAGGCTGTAATAACTACATGTGTTCTAAAAAGGCGAAGAACGGAATGGATATTGGATGGAAGACCAAAGCACGTGTACAAGTGCCAGACGAATGCCAAAGTAATCACCGAACCATGGGCGGTCGCACAAACAAAGGATTACTTTCACATCCTCAAAATGACAATTATGATTTTCCAACACTTATTCGGGGGGAAAAGACGAATTTTGTAATTGCAATACTTTGAACATGTGACCACCTGATGTCCAGCGGTTACTTTAAGATCCGCCAAGCTCTCGTGCGTGTGGGCTAACCTTCGGGCCGCGCTCATGTCTAATCCCTTTGTTCTCCCCTGAATACATGCATTTACCCCCCTACTTTATGTTCCCTTATACTCAGTTGAAAGCTCCGGGACGCTACAATAGCTATTTGTCCATTGTGCCACATTGTAGAGGTGGCAACCGCCTTGGTTTTGCTGCGTGGGGTGGGCACCTGCGCTTCTACTATGATTTCCGCATAACTGTGAGCATTTAGCCATGTACAGTGCCTTCTATTAGCGAATAAAATGCCTCATAATATCACGCGAATATTTAATCCACGGTATGATAGCTCAAGTTTTGCCCTCTGAGTTATATAGAAGTTTACTAAACTGTATTTGCTTGGTGTTGCTATCGCATGTTTTTGGGTTGATATGCTTCCTAATAGTCTCCTATCTCTTTTGATAGGCATAAATGAGTACCACTAACTGGAGAGAAGTGGAAGAAGTAGAAGATTAGATTGACTTGAAGGCCAGCTTACTTAGCTAACCGGAAGACGTGCACGTCAATAGTTTAAGGCCTATGTAGGGTCTCGGGACCTTTCATTTGATAGAGGGCATTTAATTGAACAAAAATACGTGCTAACTAAGAGAAAAGGGGGGCGCTTTGGTTTTCAGCTAACATAAAAGCCAACCCACTCGAGAATGCCCAAGATAAGTACATTGCAACCAACAGACACATTATGTTCTGGACGCCACCCACCTTCCAGTTTCAGCTACCATAACACTCGGCGCTGCAAGGAAACATCGACGAGTCAAATGCCCCAGTCATCAGGTGCCATTGAAATGGGCATAGTACTTTACGATCTCAGTTGCCTTAACTATGCCAGGGTTACTTTTGATCTGAGGGCAAGAATTATGTGAAGTATTTTCTGTTGACTAGCATTTGTACTCGGAGTCGATGCTGGAGCGAGGATCTAAAACCAATGTTTAACGGGTATCCGGAATTTAATACGGTCCTACATGGAAGGGACTAAGCATACGGTCAACACCTAGATTTGTATACCAGGAGATGGGCAAAATTTCGAGATGATATCATAATAGCATGCGCGAGGGACAATTAAGACAGAGCCTGTAGCGAACCGAGACATTCTCACCATGTAAAAGGTACTACGTTGGGCAGAATGCGTGCATTCTAAGAGGAGACGAAGGGATGGGGCCTTGGCGTGGCCCAAAGACCAGCTTGCTCCTGCAAGTTACCTCAATAAACCACTACAGTGCCCAACGCAGACATAATTCTCAATCCTCTTATTACAAAGACTCCGAAGAGTTTGGTGCTTGAAGAGTACGCACTTATTGTAATGCTTTGTTTATGCGACTATCTGACGTTGGGCCGTCACTTTAGGACTTGTCTGGGCCCTGTACACGTGGGCTGGCCTTCGGGCCACGCTCAGGTCCCCATTTCCCCTATTGCTTTCGGAATACATGCATTCAACCGCACTTATGCCTTCTACTACCTCATTGGAAGCCTCGGGACGCTACACTTATTTTGAACCACATGAGTATATCGCATTCGCTGGACACGAGGACAGAAATGCTAACATAGCAAAGTCTAATTCCATTGTCATCATTTTAGCGTTCCGAGATTTTTCACTCAGTGGAAGAAGGCATCAAGTTGGGTCGTCGATCAAAAGAAGGAAGCTTAAGTGCAATGCTTTGCTTATGTGACCAACCGTACTTCTGGCTGTTAGCTTGCCCCTGTGTGGGTGAGTTAGCACGCAGGTTAAGCAAAAGTCCCAAATCTTATCCTTTCCGCATTGTAAGCATGCATTTGGTCCCAAAGATAATGCCTTTTTGAGAAACCCGACATAATACCGAAATTATTGGGAGAAGATGACATTGCATTAAGCCCACTGATTTTGTGTGTATTTTATCGGGCATACACTATAAGAATTTTCATACCGCATCCTAAAGGAACCGAAAATATTTCCCTTACTCGAAGAAGGATTCGGTATTTGGGATTTCCTACTCAATTAAGAGTCCATAATTTCTCATGCCCCTGTACTAACTTATTGGAGTTGGTGCAGTCAACCAGTTTTATTCTTCTTGGGCGGGTGGAATAATTGTTGCCGGTGATTTGCATGTGCTCGTCTGCTGTTTCGGGTTTACGGTCGTTTTTGCGGAGTTTCTCACTATTGTAATCCTCGGTATTCCTCGGTATTTTCATTCTAGTGTAAGCAAAGCTGAAGGGAGTAGTGGTTTTGGGTCAACGCCAAAATGTTCCTTAAGTGATTCTGACTGCACTGCTTTTAAAACGCCAGGATACTATCCTCCATCCGTGTGGTCGATTCATCGTCCTGAAAATAAGGCTTTGGAAACAAAGTTATTTTCAAACAAAACTAATGTCTATGAGAGCTCGCGTATTTTTTCTGGCGGCGTTGTTTACACGACAGGGAAGCCGGCTACCGAAAATTTGTCCTACACAACGTATACCAAGGCAAGGTTATTACATTTAATCATCTTTTGACTTAGTATCTAAGTTACTCTTATTTTCTTTAGTTTGGCGATCTCCCTCTGGATAGGAAGTTGTTGCATAATATTTCACTTCTGCATCTTACCAATATGACGCCGGTTCAAATGCATGCCATACCTTTGCTTCTGACCGATCCTTCAGCGGGCGCAAGTAGTAGGAATGTGGGGTTATACGATCTTATGGCGGCAGCACAAACAGGATCTGGGAAGACTCTTGCCTACCTTCTACCGATTCTTCAACGCATCATGCGTACTTATCCGGCAGACTCCATGACCGCTCTTGTTGGTTTGCCTTCATAGTGTCTGCATGCCAAAGTCTTTACTTGAGTTTTTTGCGCTTGGGATTCAAGTGGTTTTTAGCTGTCTAAACAGGCATTAATTAAACCAGAAAGATATCATCCTATCATTTCCATTAACGCAAATTTACCTCATTCTTGTATTTTGGTTGATCTGGCAGTTGTGCTGGACTACGTAGTTATGCCACCTTTCCACTAATCTCCATTTTGCCTTTTGATATGGTTAGACAAGCATTTGTTGTTCCGTTTCAGGCAGATAACAACTATCAGGTACAATTTCCTTTGGCACTTATTCTCGCACCAACTCGAGAACTAGCCCATCAAATTAGGCTGGAGGCCAGTAAGGTGATGCCTTCTCTTGCATTTGGGGTTGTGATTATTTATTTATCTCAAATTAACTCCAATTTTTTAAAGAGGGCTGACTAATTAGTGAATATTTCTATTTGTTCTACTCGTGCTTCTATTTCATTCAGATACTTTAATTGGCTGTTTCTTTGGGAGAATAGAGGTGTTTGTTCACATTCCAAATTCTCTGGCTTATAAAGCTCTGTTACCGAACTCATGTGCGTCCCGTCGCGCTTTATGGAGGGGAGAAACCTGGTCAGCAAATATCGGAAATACGCCGTGGTTCTCATTTAATTGTCGCTACTCCTGGAAGACTTCTGGATTTCTTGGGAGAACGCCTGCTCAATCTCTCTTTCTGCAGGTACGTAGGTGAGGGATGCCCGTTCTTAGCCTTAACTATTATATGGCGCATAATGTCTCGTTGCTGAAAGGTGGATTTCTGATTTAAATTTTGCTTATAAAAGGCACTTTTACTCTGGGCGATTTATCGCTCTCACAGTTGTCTCTTCGCAGCAACTGTTTTGTCCGGGTAATTTTTATGCAATTTTAATAAATTAAGGGAATTCTTTTCGGGACTCTTTGAGATTCATGCTTTCTAGTCGTTCCGTTCCTTCCGGAGCACTTTTTGCTCTTCTAGAAATCTAGTAATAGACGAGGCAGATCGCCTTCTTGACATGGGGTTTGAACCGCAATTGCGGAAAATTATTCAATCGCGTACTTACGGTCTTCCTGATGGCGAGGATCGACAGACTGCTCTTTTTAGTGCAACTTTTCCCCCAAATGTCGCTCTACTTGCTCGTGACTTTCTCCGTGGATCGCGTTGCATCTCCCTTAACGTCGTTCGCGGCGACGATGTCGGTGCTGGCGAGCTTCCTGTGCCTGTTTGGGGTCAGGCTGTCATCCGGAATCGGCACTCCAGTGAGGACGCTTTCAAACAACTGAAAGCTACTGTCCCAAAGGAGATTATACAGAAGGTTGAGTGGGTGAAAGAAATCAATCATGGTCGGGGTGTGTTTCCGACCAATATGTTCGATCGCCTGGTCACTGTGCTTACTTCTGAAGCTGCTGGTAGGTATTTCTCCAGTGTATGCTTATTGGGGTTGTGTTCCTCCACGTTTTTCTTAGTTCCAGATATTTCCTGTGCAGAAAGTGTGAAAGGAGACTTGCAGTGTAGGTCTGTCGATTGCAAACAGCGAGTATTGGTCTTCTGTAACACCAAGCGAGAGGTCGATTTGATCGATCGGTGCTTGGTAAGACAAGGCTTTAATTCGGTTTCTATCCACGGTGATCGCTCACAAGCACGTCGTAACCATAGCGTGAATTGCTTTCGTGATGGAAAGGCAAACATACTTGTGGCGTCTTCTGTATGTCATTTACATTCTGTATCTTTTTTATCAGAGTTGTTTGGTGCATTTGGTTATGCTGGTAACATTTACTGGATCTACGACTTATTTCCTCTTCAATAACTTAAGGCGGCGATATACATAGCCATTTCTTTTCGGTAGACAATTAAACAAATATTTTCAAGCCTTTAATACCAGCATCATTAGTTTTGTCAACGTCACCAGTACATGCTTCAAAAATCACCTCCGCGTCATCTCATTTAGAAATCATTTCGACTCATTGGTTAATATTTATGGCTATGATATAACTTTGGATCCCATTTTGCTTTTACTGTAGGTCGTAGCACGCGGAATGGACTTTCCTAAAGTTGAAGTAGTTATTAACTTCGGATTGCCGTTGGGTCTCGACGAGTACGTTCATCGAATCGGTCGAACGGGTAGAATGGGCCAAGCAGGTCGTGCTATCACCCTTGTCCCCTCGCATAGTATTGGAAGTGATAAGCACTTACAAGGTATTGCTCGCGGCATATGTCGCCTCGTTTCTGATCCGTCTTGCCTTCCAAACGAATTTATCCGCGCCGCAAGGTGGAATCCAGAAGACGTAACGTCTGTTGATGAACTGACCAGTTCTCATCGTTCTAAGGTGCCATTACCCCGTTCCCAACAGAGGCTTGTAAATCAATCTTCAAAACGGAAGAAGCCATTTGTCTAACTCAAGATGTCTAGTTCTATGTGCGGATGGGTTCATTCAAATTCGTAAGCTTGGGTATCAGGTAGCTTTGGTCCTCTGGTGGATTTTGGGTGCTTGGTCCGGAGGTGTTCGGGGGTGGGGATGAGGTTTGTGTCACCTGTAGGCGTAGAGGCGGTGGTGCGGGTGGTGCTTGCAGCTGTTGGGCCGCGTTTCGTTGTACTCCCAGGTCGTATCGGTTGTGCATTTACGAAAGTTGGTCTTTAAACTTTAAATGCTTACCGCGTAAGTCAAAATACGATGCTAAATAAAAATTGATTTATTGTTGCTACAATCAACAATACAGCATAACAATTAAGTTAGGTTAATTTTCGTTTTAAGCACCTTCTACGAGGGCGGGTCGCTTGCTTCGAGGTGCTGTCTATCGACGTGTCGGCTTGGGAGGTTGAGGGACGCACTTTTCTTTCAGTGCTTCCCTCTCTTTATCTCGAATCCCAATGTCACTTGTATTTGGTTAGGTCTTACACTGAGGATTTCGGCGTTTAAATCATATTAAGAGAGGTTGATACATTTGTGTGATCGAGCCAGCAAAGACACTCGTATTAATGCCTTGCTAATGCATTCTTAACAGTGGTGGAGATTAATTGTTATCATATTTTCTGTGGATTTAAAGCAGCGGACTTTATTTTAGTTTCTATAAGAAGGTTCAAGTGTTTCTTCCTGGGGTTGACCGAATATGTTATAATCGGGGATTTCTTTCGTAGTTCTGGTTTGGAATTGTCATATTTTTTATTCATTTTTTTGTTGAATTTATTGGTTGCTACTAATACTCTTAATTCTTATGAGGTGATTTTTTCCTTTCGAAGAAGAATGGCGAATGGAAATGCAGATGCTTCCTGTTACACACTAATTTCACTCACCAGTGAGAGCAAGCAGTACACGGAGCAGAAGTTGAGGGAAGATCTTCAAAATGAAAATGTCATTGTGAAGCGTGAGGCCCTTAAAGAACTTATTCGGAATTCCGTTAACGGAGAGAAATATCGTGATCTTCTCATGATTGTTATACGTTTTGTGATGCCATCAACTGATCACACGATCAAAAAATTGCTTCACTTGTTCTGGGAGGTCGCTCCAAAATACTCTCCTCAAGGAAAGCTTCTAAATGAGATGATTCTTGTGTGTGATGCTTATCGACGTGATCTCCAACATCCTAATGAGTACATTCGAGGCTGCACTCTTCGCTTCTTGTGCAAGTTGAGGGAACCTGAGCTCCTTGAGCCTCTCATGCCGTCTATTCTTCAATGCCTCGAACATCGCCATGCTTACGTTCGAAGGAATGCTGTCCTAGCCATCTTCACTATTTATAGAAATTTTGAACACCTTATTCCTGATGCCCCAGAGCGCATGATAAATTATTTAGAAGGGGAGCAGGATCCATCTTGTAAACGGAATGCTTTCCTAATGCTTTTACACGTCAGTCAAGATACTGCTGTGCGATACCTTTCGCGTTGCATTGACGCTGTGGACACTTTTAGCGAAACAATGCAGTTGGTTGTTGTTGAGCTGATCCATCGAGTTTTCCGATCCCATCCTTTTGAAAAAGTGAAGTTTATTCGCTGTGTCTTCTCCCTTTTAAATTCGACGAGCTCATCTGTGCGATATGAAGCAGCTACTACACTGATCACACTTAGCGGAGCCTCTCCAGCTATTCGAGCCTCAGCCAGCTGCTACGTAGATCTTATATTAAAGGAGTCAGATAACAATGCAAAATTAGTCATTTTGAACAGTCTCATTGATTTGCGCGCCCGCCATGAGAAGATTTTACAAGAGCTTGTCATGGACGTAGTCAGAATTTTGAGTAGGTTTATGAGACTTTAATGGCTTTTTAAGCGGTTAACTGCTAGTACTTTGAGTTAGGAGGATGTTCAATTGTCATCTGCCTTTTATTTACAAACTATTGGACACTGATGCAGTAATCTCTTGCTATTGGTACGTTGTTAGTCAGCGCATTCTGTCCACTTTCAAGGTGCTTCGGATGTGGAACTAAGAAATAAAGCGCTCGAATTAATTGTTGATCTAGTCACTACGAGGACGGTTGATGATTTGATGGCTTTCCTACGCAAGGAGCTGATTAAGGCAAGCGCCTCGGCATATAGTGCTTCTGCAGCGTCATCTACAGAGAGCAACAATGGGTCCATGACTAAAACAGGTGGCAGTGATGAGGATGTCTATAGGCACGCACTGGTTCGGACTATTCGGGCCATATGCATGAAGTTTCCGAACTGTCTCTCTGCGATCCTTCCCACGCTTTGTGATGTAGGTTCGGGTCTCTGCTGTTAAGCTTCTCTTTTGCATCAAGTTGAATGGACTTCTACGTATACTGTACTGTTAGATCCTGACCTATACAGAAATGAAAGACTCGATGGCTGCCTTGGAAATTTGTCGTTTTTTTCGAGACGCTGTCCTCAGGCATCCCCATCATAGGGCTCCTATTTTGGAAAAAGTTTTTCAAGTTCTTCCTTCTGTTACCGGCTTTGAGGTTCTGCGTCATCTTCTTTGGATATGTGGTGAATTTTGTACGGTTAAATCACAAATACTGGAATGCATGAGGGTCATCCATCAGGTAATTTACATCTGGTAATTTTCAGCCTCACATTGCAGTGCATAGGTCCACTTCCCATAGTTCAAAGAGAAATTTCCCGGATTATGGCAGAAAACGGTCAAACAGAGGACGAAACTGTCGAAATTACCACCAAACAGAACCCGGGTGCAAGTGCTGAAGCTGCAATTAAAAAAGTTACTGCTGATGGTGCCTATGCCACTCAGTCTGCATTCACCGTCCGTACGTGTTTCTTTTTGGTGAAATCTAGTTAAAATTGTTCACGGTACTTGTTTCATTCGCTAAAATTTACCACATTCAATGCAACCCTTCAAGAGTCACTTGCTCTTAGCTTCGATTTCATTTAAAATATTTCACTACATTCACATTATTTTGGCACTCGGAGTGTCATCGTTGTCCTCGTCCCTATTTTAGGATCTGAGGCTGCATCAACCGACGGTCTAAAGCGCCCGGTGATCCAGACAGCTCTTTTTGCCAATAACTTCACTATTGGTGCCGTGGTCTCCGTTTGTCTCGTTAAACTTTTTTGCCACTTTGTCAGTCTACTGGATGATTCCGATACCAACGCCTCAGTTACAGAAAAAAACAAATTTTCCGCTGAGTGCATACTGATCATTTCGAGCATGATTCACTTGGCTCGCAGCGGTCTCGTCGCTCATCATGTCAATTCCGACACTATTGACCGCATGTGGACGTGCCTGGTTGTAAGTTTCAATTTTTTCTATCCATATTTCGGTGCTTGGTTGCTTATAAAGTGTGCTTTCTACTCAAGCTTAACCTATTGCTAAATCGTGAAGAATGCTGTTGATGTTGGTGAACGCGCGCGATAGTTCGCGTTTGAAATACTCCTAACTTTGCCGTAGGAACATTCATTATGGTGACTACCAGGGATGCTTTCTTAAACGCAGGCTCTCAAAGACGCCCGAACAAACGTGATAGGGGCTTTCGGCAAAATCAGTCGCGGTTTTCTGAAAGAGTTACTGGATGTTCAGGAGGCGGAGGCCAAGAAGCGCAATCCCGGCTCTGGCGACTTATTGTCAAATTCTACATCTGAAACTAACGTAGTTGATGCCCCAATCGATTTCGGTCTGCTTGTGCCACCTGGAGGCGATCAGAGTGAACAGGTTGATCAGTTCACTATTACTCTTAACCAGGCTATCAAGGGTACAGCAAAGGCCGGTGATGCCTATGCAACTTCCAATCTCAAAAAGGTTTGTGAGTTTTGTACAATTTCTTCGTCACATTTTGGTGATCTGTTGGTTTCCTACTCTTCGAGTCTACACTTCATACTTGGATCATGAGTCTAAAGACTACCACTAAGTGTTACCTGATCTAAGCTTCTGTTAAATTATGTCCATTATTACATTAAAGCGTTTATCTTTTGTTTTCATATGTACTGAGGCTACGTGGTCATTCTCTATACTTCGGTCATGGGTTAAATTTAGACGGCTTTCCTCTCTAAGGTACATCAACTTACCGGCTTCTCCGACCCTGTCTATGCAGAGGCCTTTGTCAGTGTTAATCAATTTGATATTGCATTGGACGTTTTACTGGTTAATCAGACCAAAGATACTCTGCAAAACCTCACCCTAGAACTCTCCACTTTGGGAGAGCACAAGCTCATCGAAAAGCCACGTCCCATAACTTTGGCCGCACAGGACTTTGCCAATGTCTGTGCTACCATCAAGGTATGTGGGAGTGAATGTGCTCCTTCTTTGTACTGCATTGTGGCAAGTTGTCGTTGCAGTCGCCTTCTTCGGTTTCATTTCTAGAATGCATTGCTTTATCCTAAATTGATATAGATTTTAATCCACTTTTATGTTTCAAGGCCATCATGGTTTTCAGCGTTTGTGTTGAGTCTTATTCGTGCTTGGTGATTTTGTGCATTCTTCTCCTTATGGCTTTTAGTAAAGACGTCCAAGATATCCTTGATTTAAAACCTTCAAGATAAGTTCCCAACTATGCAAGTAATCTTTGACCAGTAACCGAATTCTCCTTCACATTACCTGTGTTGCTATCCTCAGGTTTCCTCCACGGAAAACGGGATAATTTTCGGCAACATAGTTTATGATACCCGAGGTTCGGCAGGCGAGTCAAACTGTATCGTACTTTCGGATATTCGCATCAACATTCTTGAGTATATCCAACCAGCAACGTGTTCTGATGCTGATTTTCGTACCATGTGGTCTGATTTTGATTGGGAAAATAAGGTAAAATATGATAATTAGCTTTCATTATTACAAATATTTATTGTTTCTCTCGTTTGTAAATTTGTCCCCAGTATTTACCCCTATCTTGCTCAGGTCACGGTGAGCACTCAACTGACCGATCTGCGAACCTACTTGGATCAAGTGACGAAAATCACAAACTTCAAATGTCTTACACCACCGGAGGCGCTGCGCGGGGAATGCAACTATCTTTGCGCCACCCTCTACGCCCGTTCAATTTTTGGTGAGCACGTACTGGGCAATCTCTGCCTGGAGAAGCCCGCTGATGGTGCTCCTGTCTCTGGCCACGTACGCATTCGTGCCAAAACCCAAGGCATGGCTGTCACGATGGGTGACAAGGTGAAGGCATAGCTTCATTAAAACAACAGTAAAGTGATGAGTTTGCCGAGTTTAAAGGATTCGGCACAACTAATGTTGTTGGCTTAATGTACCGCACACTTCTGTAGCACAATGGGTTGTAATGTATGCCTTGAAATTTGAGGTTGAAGGAGGCATTTATAAGTAAACTGGCACCTTCAAGTCTGATTCAAGCGTTTTTCTTTAGATAAGTACCTCGCAAAAACAGTGGAAGGATGAAAAACCCTCAGAAAAGAATATGATGGAAGATACAGATGCGGGATTTGCTCCCCTGATATCGGATGTATGATGCCATTGTAGTGACTTGTTCAGCCTTCTTTCCGCTCCTTTCTCATCTTCCTTTCATTCTACATAACTTTGTCAAAGTCAGTACACTATATGGTGCGAACGATTTGGGAAATAAAAGAACTGTTTGCCTATATGGCATTTTCATTTCATGCATAATGGTTTCGTAATACTTCATGCTCGTGTTTGTTTACTGTAATTGTCGGGTCAAGGAAGCTGGCTGGAGGGCAGTTATTACAGTAAATCACCGTCTGATAACAAGTTCTGCAGCATTCCTAAGATCAATCGGACTAAGTAAGTGCATGCCTGACCTCTATCCGCAGATTGTTTGGCAATGTGCTCAGGTCTTGATTGTTACAATGATCATGCTAACATCAGTAACTCCTGGTGTGAAACAATTCATAAGAGATGATGGATGATCGGCGGTCCAGCATTCGATTTTTCACTTGTCCACCCGTAATGCAGTACCTTTTGAGTGATGAGCATGAAATTCCACCCCTTTCGTTCAAGGTTTCTGCTGGTGTCGATTGTGGTCACAAGTGGAAATTTTGCCACTGCCCTAGACCACGCCACTAGTTCAATTTCCCTCCATTTTCTCTGAGAATATATGTAGTCGGTCAAACTGCTATGTATTTTCGTATAATGAAGCTTCGGAACGCTACAATAGCGGTGGTTGAAAGTGAACCTGGCTTTGGTCGGATTATCGCCGTTTGTGGCAATATTCTGCTGAGAGAATTAAGTGTATATTGCTACGCGTGAGAAAATCGCTGATTCACAATTTATGTTTAGAGAATGAAGTCTTTCCTTGAAGTCTGCTTCCTGCGTTCCAGCGGAAAGGATGCAACAGTGGAAGCAAGAGCCATCGCTAACCAACTGAAAACTTTTATTCCTCGTTTTTCTCCCTCTGACAATACACATTACCTGTCCATAAGATGACAATTCAAAAGGCTTTATCTACATGAAAATGCGTTGAACAATACATTCACTTTAATGAGTATGTTTTAGAGAAACGTTCCAAAGCCTAGCCATAGGCATGAAGGTCAGCAGAATCCCCAATCTCCGATCCCTGTAAAGCTGAAGAAAACTCCGGATCTATTTGACATTGTAAAGGTTAATGCAGGAGGTCTG